GGGTCTGCCAACCGAAGTCGGCTGAGAACGGGAGCACCAGTCCTCCGGGTGGCATACACGGGTGCCCCGTGGTACGCCGGGATACTGGACGTGGGTAGCAACCGACCGGGCCCGGTAACAACCGGGCTCTAGACCAGGGGAATTAAAACAGGACCCCCAGAGTAAACGCGCGGACGGTGGACGAACGATTTGTCGGGCGGCCGTGACGATCGGTCGGTTGAGGATCTAGGAGGAGGAGAGAGAGAGAAGACCAACTTTATTCACAATAATCTACTGCTATGCGGAGAGCCGTGAGAACGGCTCTAACGCAGAACGGGTGGACGGTCGATGTCCAGGAGCTGCGGATACAGCTGTCCTCCAGGAGCCGTGGATACGGCTGTCTTCCAGGAGCCGCGACGGCGGCTGTTCTTCCAGGTGCCGAGGGTACGGCGCTCATCCGCGAGCCAGGAGCCGTGAGAACGGCTATCGTTGCGGGAGCCGTAAAAACGACTATTAGTTCCAAGAGCCGTGAAAACGGCTATTCGGGTGCCGGGATGCGAGCCGGACAGTTCGGACGTCGGTTGCGACCGACCGAGTACGGGAGCGCCCGTACCCTGGACCGGATCGTCCGTGGCTTGACTGAATACTCCTGGATGTCGGGAGCACCCGACCGGGCACGGTTGAAACTGTGCTCTGGACCAGAAGCAAGGATAGGAGCTCGGTAGGCTTCGATTGCCCAGGGTGCGCCCTGTGGCTTCGAGCGTCCCGAGAGTCGGGACAGGAATAGGTACCGATCTGCCGAAGCGGCCGCCTTATATACCCGGCTGGCTACCCCCACTCGATACCCCCACGGTCATGCGCTTAGTAGTGGGGTAGGCCACGATCCTCAATCCGCGGGTCCGCGGGTCGAAGTGCTCAATCAGCGGTGCTGGCTCCAAATTGGCGCAGCGCAGGCGGGTCTTAGTAACGGCTATGCCGTTATATCACCCTCCCTTTTACGGGGGAAGGTCGCGGTCCGGTAAGCGTTTACAGGAACGCTGGTGGCCCTGGTGGTCGAAGCGGACCAACCAGCGTCCTGTGGTCGTGCCCACCCGATACTTACGCGCCCTGTGCGCGGCGAAGTGCGGCACTTCTGCACTTTCCTTGTCGGGCAAATGTACCCGGACCGGCGGGGTTAGGGTCGGGTCGGTCGTCGGTCATGTTGTTGCAGCACAAATTGCGACGGCCGGGGGTGTCGGCGGCGCGGTCCCAGCACTGGTGGTGGCTGAGATTGCGGGTGGTGGTCGGGCGGAACCTCTACGAGGCGGCGCGGTGGCTGGAGGGTCTCGTGCGTGTGGCGGCGGCGGTGGTGGTTCGGCCAGGAATATAGCCGCTTTCCGAGCCTGATCGCGGTCCGATCGCTAGACCCGGGTCCCGGGTTTCAGCGGTGGTCGGCACTCCTCTCTCCACTCCCTTCGCTTCGTCGGTCTCTCTCCCTCTGAGGAATCCTCGGAGTCGCTTCCGAAGAGTTCACGGGCTAGTGCTCGCTTCGACATGGCGACTCGATACTGACCGGCGGTGTGTGCGCTCGTCTTTTATATACCCGGCTGGGCCGGGCCGAGTGGTGGGGCAATAGCTGAGCGGGCCTCCTATTGGTCAATGCTTGGGGGCGCGTTCTTTAGGTCGCGCACATGTATGCAGCGGTGCTACCTACCGGAATCGTCTCGTAAATCTACGATAACCGGAGAAATAATCTTTCGTACGGTCATTGGTCCTTGATAACGCGGCGCTAGCTTAGCATTGAAACCCTCCGATTTGTTGGACAACGGATGGTCCCGTTTCCATACGCGGTCCCCTATTCGCGGCCGCCAGTCGCGCCTGCGCAGATCGTAATATCGCTGTTGTCGTTGAAATGAGCGAGCAAGATTTATGCGTACGACCTCGAACGCGTCTTCGAGAGTTCGTCGGACGGTTTCCGGGGCGTAGGAGTCAGGGGCGGTCGCCGATCGTCCGGGTGTGGAAGCGCAAGTTCCCTCCCGTGTACTAAAAATGCCGGAGTGTATCCGGTAGCCTCTTGTCTGGCAGTGTTGAATGCAAATTGTAACTGGGGTATGTTTTCATCCCATTGCCAGTGTCTCTTCCCTACAAATTGCGCAATCATAGTTTTGACCGTTCGATTGGCCCTTTCCACCGGGTTACATTGTGGAGTATAGGCTGGCGCAATGCGATGAGTAATATCGAACGCTTTGAGCAGATCTTGGAATGGACGAGACTTGAATTGAGTGCCATTATCTGATACCACTACGTCTGGTCATCCGTGGCGATATATCATGCGATTTGCGACCTTTCTTGTTACGCTGTCTGCTGTGGCTTGGCGCACAGGGGCTAACTCTAGCCACTTTGAAAAACGGTCCTGAACTAAGAGTAGCCAGGTATGCCCTCGGGTGGAGCGCGGCAGTGGGCCTATTAGGTCTATTGAAACTTGTTGCCAGGGAGTGTCTATATTTGTCGCGTGCAACCGTCCCGCGGGTAGCTGCTGAGCGACCTTATGAGCGGCGCAGTTTAAGCAATTTCGCACGTAACGGGCTACGTACCTCTCGGTACATCCCGGGCCAATAGTACAGGCGGGCTACTCATGCGATTGTTTTCGAAATCCCTAGGTGGCCGGCGATCGGGTCGTCGTGAAATCGGCGTAATATTTCTAGTCGGTCTGGGGTAGCTACGCACCGTTTCCACTGCTCGTGAGCGGAAGTCTCTTGGAAATCTAGGTTATGCAGGAGGTGATAGTAAAGCTTGCCTTTCTGCAGCCGAAAGTCTGGGTAATCTAACGGTTTTTTTCGGACGCCTTTGCTAATCCGTTCGTACCATGGGCACCCTTTAGCCTTCTGAACCGTGTTACTTTTGGATTGTCGAGACAGAGCGTCGGCTACTTTATTTAGGGCCCCTTTTCGATATCGGATGTCGAAGTCGAACTACTGTAGTTCGAACACCCATCTTCCAAGGCGACCGATAGGAGATTCGAGCTGTAGCCACTTCAGCGATTGGTGGTCAGTGACTACCGTAAATCGGTACCCTTCGAGATAATCTCTCATCCGGCGAATTGCCCATACTACGGCTAGGCACTCTAATTCGGTGGCGCTATAATTTTTCTCGGCCTGATTCAACGTCCTACTCGCGTAGGCAATTACGCGTTCCCCCTGTTCTAGGTTCTGGGTGAGGACGGCGCCTAGGCCCTGAGTGCTGGCGTCAGTTTGTAGGATAAAGGGCCGGTTGAAATCGGGACACGCTAAGACCGGGGCTGTAGTGAGCATGTCTTTCAATCGTTGGAAAGCGTTTTGTTCTTCACTGGCCCAGGTAAATCGGGCGTTTTTCCGTGTGAGACGCGTTATTGGGGCCGCGATGGCCGAAAAGTTCGATACGAACCTTCGATACCATGAGGCCATCCCCAGAAATTATCGAACTTGGTGGTCGGCGCGTGCCAATTCTTAATAGCGCTCACTTTTTCCGGGTCGGTACGGATCCCTTCCCGGTCTACGATATGACCTAAGTACTTTAATCGGTCTCTACAGAAGTGGCACTTATCGACATTCAGCCGCAATCGAGCTTGTCGCAATCGCCGGAAAACTTCCTTCAGATGCGTCAGATGCTCTTCAAATGTTCGACTGACGACGATGATGTTGTCAAGATATACGAGTACGTGGGGGTCTAGGTCTGGGCCTACGACGTTGTCTAGAAGTCGCTGGAAGGTGGCGGGCGCCGAATGAAGGCCGAAAGGCATTACGCGAAACTGTAGGAGACCGGATATCGTAAACGCGGTAGCAGGTCGGCTATCAGGTTCGAGGGGTACCTGCCAATACCCGTCTTTTAGATCTAAAGTGGAGAGGTACTTAGCCCCCCTTAGTTTATCCAGTGTGGCCGTGATATGCGGAAGAGGATAAGCGTCTTTCTCTGAAGCCTGATTCAACTTCCGGAAGTCAATACAAAAGCGGAAAGCCCCGTCCTTCTTTTTTACCAGGACCACCGGAGAGCTCCATGCGCTATTGGAGGGTTCTATTACTCCGGCTTTCAGCATCTTATCTACCTCGGTGTTTATCACGGCTTGCGTGGCCGGGTTTCTAGGGCGATATCTTTGCTTAATCAGTGGGCCGGGTTTTAAGCGGATAGTGTGCGTGATACGGTCGGTGGGGCCTCGGATCGATTCAAATTTCCGCAGTTCCCTCTCGAGGAATTGTCTGAATTGTCGGTCCTCCGTCTGAGATCGGGGAGCAATTCCCGCCGAGATATTATCGGTGATAGTCGCTACCTGCGGTGTAGATGCGACTTGGTCGCGCGGTGGGGTCGGTATGGTTATCCCTAATTTGGCCCATAGATTAGTGCCAATGAGCATGGCACTTCGAGAAGCCGGCATGACCCGGAACCTATGGTCAACCACGATTCCTTCGACTCTTATCGCAAGCTCGGCGACGGCTTTTACTGCGGCCTCGGTGCCGTCAGCCAGTATTATAGGTTCATCCACGTCTAGTACGGGTCGCCCGGCTGCCTCCATCCTTTTGGCAGTCTCGTCGTTGATAAACGAGATTTCGGACCCGGAGTCAAGTAGTGCCCATACCGCGACCCCCTGAGCATGCACCTGAATATGCGGCCGTGGCGTATATTTTATTCGGAAGCGGGTCGGAGCTCGGCCGCCTTGTCGCCGACCCGTGGGTCGTTTCCCGACGGGGGATGTTAATCTCGGGTCAGGACGCCGTCTTTTTTACAACGAGAACAAAATTTCTTAGGGGGGTCGTTTGCAATCGAAGCGAGTGTGTCCCCGCTATTTACAGCGCCAGCAACATGTGCTACGATCGTACTGAATGGTGGCCACGTTGGCCTCAGGAGGCAACGTGGCCACCATTCTTAGTCTCCTTGGCGCTATCTCTGCGGCGTTGATTAATTGCTTCGTATTCCGCGGCTCGACGGAATAGTTCGGATAACGTGGTTATTTCGTCAATTCGCGCGTAGAGCTGGAATTCCGAATTAGCATTTTCGTATAGCTGGTCGATTTATTCTTGGGCAGTGTAGCCCCCAGCTCTGCGCATCATCATTAAGACGGTTGTCGCGTATTTCCAAAACGTCTCGTTGGGTTGTTGCTTCTGGCGCTGAATTTCTCGCCTTAATTGGTGTTGGTACCTGCGGGGCAGGTATTGGTCTTTTAATTCTTCGCAGAACTGTTCCCAAGTATTCCAGGAGGCCCGACAATTTCTATACCACAATAGCGCGTCGCCCCGTAATAATACAGGCAGTCCAGTTAATAAGCGTGACCCATCGTAACCGTAGGCGGTACTAAGTTCCTCTACCCGTTCGAGTAATGAGAAGGGGTCTTTCCCGTCAAAGTGCAGGCCCCATTTACGTATTTGATTTAAAATCGGGGCCGAGTCCTCTACTGGTGGTTCAGGGGTACTGGGCACGCTCAGGTACCGGTTGTTTCCGGATTTCGCCATCTCGGCGTTTTCAGTGATAATGTGGTTCCGAAGGCGTTGGCGCACGGTATCAAAATTCCCGGTGGTGTCTAACCCGGCCGCGGACAGTCTAGTAGTGATCTCGATTTTATTGAGTCAGTAAATCCCTGAGAGCATGGGTGTGCGAGTCGGAGCCTCTAACGGTCGGGTCCCTGTTCGGGCGCCATGTAACGGAGCACCTTTCCCGACGCCGCGGATCGGCTCATCGGAGTCAAGGTTCGGGAGAAGGGGAGGCTCAGGCTCGCAAAACACCACACAGGCACGATTTAAAATAAGTTTGCTTTATTCAAAGAAAATCAGATAGACGAGTTTCGGGTGATAAGCCAGCGCAATGACCACAAAGTATAATATAATAATAATATAATCTTAACTAATATTTACACGGGGTTGCGTCGGAATTACGAACGCGTCTTCAATCGTCTTATCTTATTCGCGTGGACACGAACGCGCCCTAATCTAATAACTACGGAAACTGCCTAACGCTAATTAAACCTATTTACAATGACTCGCGTATCGAGGTAATGAACACGCCTAAGCCTATGCTATTATACAAACGCGCGTACGGACCTTCGTAACGTGGAACGCGGAGAGTCTAGTGGGTGGTCGCGTGCGGCGGGGCACGGACACGGGACCTACCAGGGTCTGCCAATCGAAGTCGGCTGAGGAGCACTCATCCTCTGTGTGACGTACACGGGTGTCCCGTGGTACGCCGGGATACTGGACGTCGGTAGCAACCGACCGGGCGCGGTAGCAACCGGGCTCTAGACCAGGGGAATTAAAACAGGACCCCCCAGAGTCTGTCTCGCGACGCGGAAGTCCTAATGGGTGGTCGCAGCGAGGCACGGGACCTACCAGAGTCTGCCAACCGAAGTCGGCTGAGGACGGGAGCACCCGTCCTCCGGGTGGCGTACACGGGTGCCCCGTGGTATGCCGGGATACTGGACGTCGGTAGCAAACGACCGGACCCGGTAGCAACCAGACTCTAGACCAGGGGAATTAAACAGGACCCCCAGAGTAAACGCGCGGACGGTGGACGAACGATTTGTCGGGCGGCCGTGACGAAAGGTCGGTTGAGGATCTAGGAGGAGGAGAGAGAGAGACCAACTTTATTCACAATCGTCTACTGCTATGCGGAGAGCCGTGAGAACGGCTGTAACGCAGAACGGGTGGGCGGTCGATGTCCAGGAGCCGTGGATATGGCTGTCCTCCAGGAACCGTGGATGCGGCTGTCCTCCAGGAGCCGTGGATACAGCTGTTCTCCAGGAGCTGTGGATACGGCTGTCCTCCAGGAGCCGTGGATACAGCTGTTCTCCAGGAGCTGTGGATACGGCTGACCTCCAGGAGCTGTGGATGCGGCTGTCCTCCAGGAGCCGCGGCGGCGGCTGTTCTTCCAGGAGCCGCAGCGGCGGCTGTTCTTCCAGGTGCCGAGGGTACGGCACTCGTCCGCGAGCCAGGAGCCGTGAGAACGGCTGTCGTTGCGGGAGTCGTGAAAACGGCTATTAGTTTCAAGAGCCGTGAAAACGGCTAGTTGTTCCAGGAGCCGTGAAAACGGCTATTCGGGTGCCGGGATGCGAGCCGGATAGTCCGGACGTCGGTTGCGATCGAGTACGGGAGCGCCCGTACCCTGGACAGAGTCGTCCGTGGCTCGACGGAGGGCGGTTTGGATGCGAGGAAGAAAGCCGGACAATTCCGGGCGTCGATTGCAACCGACCGAGTACGGGAGCCCCATACCCTGGACCAGATCGTCTGTGGCTCGACGGAATACTCCTGGATGTCGGGAGCACCCGACCGGGCACGGTTGAAACCGTGCTCTGGACCAAAAGCAAGGATAGAAGCTCGATAGGCTTCGATTGCCCAGGGTGCGCCCTGTGCGGGAGCGTCCCGAGAGTCGGGACAGGAATAGGTACCGATCTGCCGGAGCTGCCGCCTTATATACCCGGCTGGCTACCCCCACTCGATATCCACACGCGGTCATGCGCGTAGTAGTGGGGTAGGCCGCGATCCTCAATCCGCGGGTCCGCGAGTCGAGGTGCTTAATCGGCGGCGCTGGCGCCAAATTGGCGCAGCGCAGGCGGGTCTTAGTAACGGCTATGCCGTTATAGACTTAAGAAGTTGACCAATCACAATCGAATATTCTCTTAATATTTGACAGTAATTAGTCAATTACATAAACCTTACGCCTTAATTCTCCTTAAAATTTCATTGTAGACGACGCTTAATGTAGCGTCTATAATTAGTTTTTAAGGCGTAAGTCTTAAGAAATTGACCAAACACGGTCTAGTATTAAGAGAATATTCGATTGCGATTGGTCAGTTTCTTAAGTTTTACTCCTTAAAATCTCATTGTAGAAGACGCTTAAAGGCCATTCTACAGTGGCCGTAGCATAAGGTTGTAAGGCGAAAGACTCAAGGAATTTACCAATCACAGTCAAATATTAAGACAACACTCGAAAGTGATTGGCCAATTTCTTGAGTTTTACGCCTTAGAATCTTATGCTACTGCCATTGCAGACAAACCTTTAATCCCGATCTACAACAGATAATTTAAGCTCTAAGCCTTAAGAAATTGCCCAGTCATAGCCGAGCTTTTCTTCATAAGCCGTGTTCCGAAATTATTACCAATACTGCAAATTCTATAGTGCACGTCACGTATATTATATTTTAAAAAAAGGTAAAGAAAAAGCGTCGAGTTCATCTAAAAATCGTCTCACAAAAAATAGTTGTCTTTATGTAAAAAATATCATCTAAAAATCGTCTCACAAAAAATAGCTATCACAAAAAATAGTTGTCTTTATGTAAAAAATATTTTTACAAAAAGTACTGATACTCACAAAAAATAGCTATCACAAAAAGTAGCTACCTTTATGTAAAAAATTATCTCACAAAAAATAGTTATCTTTATGTAAAAAATATATCACAAAAAATAGTTATCTTTATGTAAAAAATATTTTTACAAAAAGTACTGATATTAATTATAAAAAATTGCGTCAAGTGCAATTTCACTTTAACTTTGTTAGTGTTATAAAATTTTATACATATGTGTTTTTACATAATCCGCTGCTGACAAATAGATAGAAGTTCCGTTTAAAATCTATTACATTTTTGTCATAAAGAAGAACATTTTTGTTAGAGTTGAATCAATTTTTTAAAATAAAAGATTACGTCAAATGATTTTTAAATTTTCTAGAAAATTAAAATAAGATTAAAAAACTTATTTAAAAATTAAAAATAAAAAAAAATGAAAGATTACGTCAATAATTTTTAAATCTTCTACAAAAATAAAATAAAAGAACAAATTTTTTTAAAAATTAAAAATTAAAAAGAATATAAATTTAAAAAATTTTAAATAAAAAAACTCGGCGCTGCCTAGTAATTATTGAAATAATGCTAGTATGTAATTGCTCATTTATTATTATTGTCAATCAAATTGGTAGCGCGCCGAGTTTTTTTATTTAAAATTTTTTTAATTTATATTCTTTTTAATTTTTAATTTTTAAAAAAATTTGTTCTTTTATTTTATTTTTGTAGAAGATTTAAAAATTATTGACGTAATCTTTCATTTTTTTTTATTTTTAATTTTTAAATAAGTTTTTTAATCTTATTTTAATTTTCTAGAAAATTTAAAAATCATTTGACGTAATCTTTTATTTTAAAAAATTGATTCAACTCTAACAAAAATGTTCTTCTTTATGACAAAAATGTAATAGATTTTAAACGGAACTTCTATCTATTTGTCAGCAGCGGATTATATAAAAACACATATGTATAAAATTTTATAACACTAACAAAGTTAAAGTGAAATTGCACTTGACGCAATTTTTTATAATTAATATCAGTACTTTTTGTAAAAATATTTTTTACATAAAGATAACTATTTTTTGTGATATATTTTTTACATAAAGATAACTATTTTTTGTGAGATAATTTTTTACATAAAGGTAGCTACTTTTTGTGATAGCTATTTTTTGTGAGTATCAGTACTTTTTGTAAAAATATTTTTTACATAAAGACAACTATTTTTTGTGATAGCTATTTTTTGTGAGACGATTTTTAGATGATATTTTTTACATAAAGACAACTATTTTTTGTGAGACGATTTTTAGATGAACTCGACGCTTTTTCTTTACCTTTTTTTAAAAGGTATTTTTTTAGGGATATCACTTCTTTTTGTATAAAAAAATTATGTATTTTAAACTTAATTTTTCATAATATTTATTAAACATTTTTAAATAAACCCACCACAACCCCCGTCATACTATATCAAAATGTGACGGTCTCGCTTGCTTACCATAGATATTTAAGTATTATATGATCGTTTTTTACAGATATTTAAGTTTAACTTTTCTTTAAAAAGTTTTTAAGAATACCACTTTTTATGTATTAAACATTACATATTTTATAAATTTTTTATGAATATTATTTTTTTATTGTACATATTTATTATACGTTTTTAAATAAACATCCCCGTTATACTTTTTCAAAGTGTGACAGTCTTTCTTGCCTACTACAGATATTTAAATTATTAATTTTATAATATTGGATATATTTATATATTACTTATTAGACATTCTTCGTAGAAAAAGTAAACAAACATTTTTACCACCTCTAGGCCACTGTTTTTTTTTAACTTGAGCATCATTAGCTTCGATCCAAATATTAGATGTTCCTTCTCTGCACATACTTATATAATGGCCTTCATCAATATTAGGGTTTTGAAAAAATATGGCATTTGTCACTTTGTACGTGTGTCCATCTATTAATATCTTAGTCGTCGGAATAGCACATAAATTAAAATCATGTGTCGCTTTCATTGATTTATCATTTTGTGATGGAGAAGATATTAAGTGAATTACGATTATCTCTTTTGCCAATATTATTCTCTTTTTAATAACATATTATTTTTTTCAGCACAATATTCACACGATTCGTTATGCAATTGAAACCAATGTGAAAAAGTAACATTTAACAAATCATTAAGATCAT